ATTATTCCATTACGCTTTCTTTGCAGGATTTCACACACAGAAAACAGCCCATGCATGCTAGAAATATCGAAAAACACATTAAAAAAATAATATAATTTAAAATAAACAAACAAACAAAAAACGAAAATTTTTTGAAAAAGTGTCCGACTCCGGGATTCGAAACCAGGACCACTCCCTCCAGCAGCGGACTTGCTTGACTGGTGGCCTACCATCCAGTCCACGGTGATATGTGAAGCATACCACAGTTTCGCTTCCAAAGCTCTCTCCTCTCATCTTCGCAATATACATTTAGGGGCCCACTGTGACCTCCCTAATTGGCCTATAAAAATTCTTTTCGGCAGCCTAGTTTGGACTATCGACCCCTACTTAGAGTCCGAGTTTGAAAATTGTACCTTGATATTAAAGGGAGCTAGGGGATCTTAAAATTTGAACCTTTCTCGAGCCATTTTATTTCTTTATTCTTTTTTTTATTATTCCATTACGCTTTCTTTGCTGGATTTCACGAAACAGAAAGCACCCCAAGCATGCCAGAATATCCAAAATGTTACAAAAGAAGTGGAAAAAGAGCTAAAAAACTGATTTCCTGGATTGTTTCTTTTTTTTTCCATTTTCCCAATAAAAAAAAATTATTTCCTACATGCAGGACCCTCCAGAATATCGAAAAAAACATAAAAACAATAATATAATTTAAAATAAACAAAAAAAGAAAAAAATATATAATTTTTTGAAAATTTGTTCGTCTCTGGGATTCAAATCCAGGACCTCTCCCTCAAGCAGCAAACTTGCTTGTCTGGTGGCCTACCTTCCAGTCCACAGTGATACGTGAAGCCTACGACAGCTTCGCTTCAAAAGCTCTCTCCTCTCATCTTCGCAATATACCTTTAGGGGCCCTCTGTGACCCCCCTAATTGGCCTATAAAAATTCTCTTCGGCAGCCTTGTTTAGACCATAGACTCCTACTTAGGGTCTGAGTTTGAAAATTATACCTTGATATTAAGGAGAGCTAGGGGGTCTTGAAATTTGAACCTTTCTCGAGCCATTTTAATTTTTTATTCTTTTTTTTATTATTCAATTACGCTTTCTTTGCTAGATTTCACACACAGAAAACACTCCATGCATGCTAGAATATCCAAAATGTTACAAAGGAAGTCGAAAAAGAGCAGATAAACTGATATTCCTGGATTTTCCCAGTTTTTTCCCAATTTCCCAATAAAAAAAAATTATTTCCTACATGCAGGACCCTCCAGAATATCGAAAAACACATAAAAAAATTATATAATTTAAAACAAACAAAAAAAGAAAAATATATATAATTTTTTGAAAATTTGTTGGTCTCTGGGATTCGAACCCAGGACCCCTCCCTCCAGCAGCGAACTTGTTTGTCTGGTTTCCTACCATCCAGTCCACGGTGATACGTGCAGCCTACCACAGTTTCGCTTCAAAAGCTCTCTCCTCTCATCTTCGCAATGTACCTTTATTGGCCCACTGTGATCCCCCTAATTGGCCTATAAAAATTCTCTTCGGCAGCCTTGTTTGGGCCATAGACCGCTACTTAGGGTTCGAGTTTGAAAATTATACCTTGATATTAAAGGAAGCTAGGGGGTCTTAAAATTTGAACCTTTCTCGAGCCATTTTATTTTTTTATTATTCCGTTACGCTTTCTTTGCCGGATTTCACACACAGAAAACACCCCATGCATGCTAGAATATCCGAAATGTTACAAAAGAAGACGAAAAAGTGCAAATAAACTGATTTTTCTGGATTTTTCCAGTTTTTTCCCATTTTCCCAATAAAAAAAAATTATTACCTACATGCAGGACCCTCCAGAATATCGAAAAACACATAAAAAAAATATATATATTTACACCACTTTTAACTATCTAAAGAATAGATATATTTTAAAATCTTACCTTAATTAAATTTTTCCTGTTTATTAAGTTTTAATAAAAGGGAAAAATAAGTAAATTGCCACCATCTAAAGTAGAATGTATTGATTTGAACATATTGCAAATATTGCTAAGTCCAACAAACTGGGTCACATAGTAAATACATAGTAAACTTTAGGGTCCTCATTGTGTACCCCCTATGGGACCTATAATTATTTCCTTTTTTAGGGTACACTATTCTATGTGAATATAATGCGTGGTGCAATTAAAATATTATGGGTCAATATTAAAGTTCCATATCACGCCTTGCGTTAGTATTGAAAAATTACTTAGAACGTCCCCGTTTCAAACTATTTTAGAAGACGAATTTCCTCAAAATAAAGCCTCTAAGAACACTCTTTTAGATATACATACATAGTAAACTTTAGGGTCACGTTATGTACCCCCTATGGCACCTATAATAAGTTCCTTCGGTAGGGTAATACAATACGTGGTCCAATTAAAATATTATGGGTCAATATTAAGGTCTGATATCAGGCCTTGCGTTAATATTAGACGGAGATATAGGACCATATTTTTATACAGAATATTGATTGAAATTTTTTGATTTAAATGCTATTCAACACATTATTATATTTATAAATACATAGTAAACTACAGGGCCACATTGTTGCGTTTTTAATGATGATTTTTAATGATGATGAGTGATTTTCTATGTCTGACTTAGAACTTTAAGACAAAAAACAAAAAAAAAGCAAAAAAGATTTTGTTTTATTATAAGCATTTTTTATCCTACATTTTTTTTGTTTCTAAATAATGATTTTTTATGAAGACTTTACATTTTTTGGTCTACAATTTTCGTTAAAAAGCTTTTTTTCAAGATTAAATTACATGACATTGTGTGTCACTGTATACTTTTTGCATATTTTATTTTTTGAAGTTCTATGATTGAAAAAAGTATGGAATGTAAAGTTTAAACTGATCTTTCATATCAAATCATTAAATTTATTGGAGCGATTTCAGAGGTAACAGGTCTTAACTTCAAAAAGAAAATATGATACATATTTTTTTCCTGTTTATTTACGAATATTTTTCCGGTGTGTTTGGGTTGCTCTTTCTTTTTAAAAAAGAAATTCCATTTTGTTTTGCTTGCATAAGAAAGAATATTAAAAATTTTTCTTTTTTAAATTTAGTAAGCAGCTATATAAAGTTGGAAACATTACAATGGTACAATCAGGGCCGTTTTATCCATTAGGCACTGTAGGCAACTGCCTAGGGGCCCCGCCACGTTCAGGGGCCCTGTGCTACAGAGAAAAAAAATTGACAATGTTTCTAAAACAGTAAAAATTAATTCGAAATTTCAATGACGATTGTCTTGCTCTGTACATTGCATCGACGCTATTTTAGTACATTTCTGAGCGCATTCCAAATTAGATATTAATATTATGGTAGTTTGTTCATATATAACGCAGTAATATAATCGCAAGCAATTTTATCGCGGTTATTTTAACGCCGACTAATCAGATGACTATACAGCAAGAGCAGCTTTTTTAACACAACACGCTTGAAAAACGCGCAAAATTCTGCGTTCTGAATGCACAGTTACTGTTCTGCTACCTACCATAGGTATGTATATTCTATGGCCAAGCTACCAAAGAGTATGTAAAAATAAGGTTGGCAGTACTGATTCTTTCGTCGCATGACTGGAGAATTCCCCGATCCGCTAAATACATACGTTGTATTGTGTCATAGACAACATTTTTGAAACATTTTTAATGTAATCGGTGAATTTTCACTACGTGCAATTTGTTTGCGAGTTTTACGGCTGTGAATGAAAAGAGAGTTTTACAGTTTGTGTTTCAAAACTTACGAATTTAGAGCTAAGTATTGGATATTTATTTATAAAGACTGCAGAAGTGCTTCGGGCTTCGAGAAAATCTGTGAAACGACGAGTAAAAACCCTTGAAGTGTAAACTGAAGTTAAAATTACTATACGTAAGTTTTATTATTTTTTTCATATTTTATTACGTAATACAGGACTTGACAAATGTGAAGTTTAAATTCATTGGCCGTAATGTCAATTGAAAATGATGTATTGGGAAAGGTTAACTTTCAGGATGTCTTGAACGATTTTGTAACAAAAAAAGTTAGAAGAGTTAATATTTAAGCTTATTGTATGATTTTTTTTAAATGCATATATTAATTACTTATATTCTTTTCGTTTGATTCAATATTTTTATTGAATAATGTGATAATATATCTATGTAGTAAAAAACAGCGTAATTATGAATAAAGTGTTGTGTTAGCGAAAAAATATATTAGGAAGTTAGAAGACGGTAGGAGGGGGGGGGGAGACAGGCATTGCCTAGGGGCCGCGACATGCATAAGCCGGCCCGAGTACAATGAAGAAATCTCCAGTGCAACTGATGATCGTGTTGCTTTGCTAGCTGTCATTCGTCTTAGATAACAACGTCCTCTATAAATCGTTGAGTTCGTGGATTCCTAAAAGCTATTATTTTCTGTAAACTTTATCCTATCACTTGTCCCTATTACTATTCTTCCCCCAGTGGACTGATTGCTAAGACACGGTTCCAACCGATAACCGATGTCCAGCCGTAACTGGCTGCGGTCAGTGTTCAGGTGGGTGATCACTTGGATCAGTTTGTGTAGTGTGTAGGGACTGGGGTGTGCGGTATTGGTCCTCGTTAAACTGTTTTACCGTAAAGTGCTCGACTTCACGTGCAAGTAGTCGGGTTACCGAAGCGGGGGAGCCATCCGCAGCTGAGGATCATAATTGCGATGGCATGTCTCCGGATTATCCTCAGGGATGTTTCCGGATCGTCGCTAATAGCCCATTGTGCAGCTCTAGTTCGACGTAAATTAACAGCAACAACAACAACGTACGACGTAAATGTACAACAACTACAACCTATCACTCGTTCTGCGATAAGCGAGCTATAAGCAAAATACTTTAAAGAGTTCCAAAACTGCACGCGGGTTATAATCAATTCTACCATCATTTTTATACGAAAGTAGGACTTTTAAAACGCAGAGCTATAAGCGATAAGCAGAGAGCTCGCAGCACTTAACTATACTCAACTATACTCAATACTCAAAGTAGGACTTTTTAGGTATTGAATTTCGGTTGGAAAAATTTTAAGGTATAAACATTTATTATTCCGCATTTTGTAATATTCTATGCTTGTTAACTGTAGTTAAGTAGTAAACTTTGGATGATTCTAAACTATATTATTAGTTATGAGATTTGCCAATTGTTTCAGCGGAATTTTCAGTGGCGTGATGTTTACGGCTAAATTGGTTACGAAGCAGATTTTTGTGAATATTTTCCACGCTGTATTTAAGTCCTGTCCGCTATAAAATGACGCCTGCATTATAAACACCACATTTTAGCAACGTTGCGAGGAGTTAAGCATGCTGACATTTCAATTCTGTTACTCAGGGTGAAGCCTCTTAATTGTTTGAGCGTTTGTTTCCTCATAAGTAAGGTGGTCTCCGAAGCAAGGAATAACTTTCAACTGTTTTTAATTACGCAACAATCTCTGTTTTGTGTTTATTTGAGAAAGGATAAACCTCTTTACACGCTCAGGGTGCGTAGCGTTTGTAAAAAGTACTTAAAGCTGCATTTTTCATTGGATGTTTTTAAAAAGTGCTTAATATTTCACTTTTCCAAAATGAGATTTTTCCTTTACCGTGTTAAATTTCGCTACGAAGTATGCAGAGACACTTCACATTGTTCTATTCAACGTTTTCGCAATTAATTAAACTCCAATCTATTTCCGCATATCGTCAGTCCGTAGCATATTAAAATGCCATTCGATTTATATGAGTAAAAAATTGTGACAATTGTCTAAAACAATGCCAAAATTTTTTGTTGAATGACGGTTAGAACTAGATAAAATCGTCAATTGTTAAACACTTTCCAATTCTGCCTAATTGGGATTTTTTCAACGTGCTTTTGAAAAATATTATTTGAGTGCTTGAAAAGTGCTTAAAGGGTGCTTATTTTCTTGTTGAATAATTTGGCAATGCACCCTGACGCTTGATTGATTCTTTTTAATCAAAGTAATAAAAAGGTCTTTTGAGGCATTACGCTTTGGCTCTTTTATCTGTTAATTTAGCTCTGGGTCGGGCTGGAAGTTTGGGACCCAGGGGGAATTTTCCCGCTCAGTCTTGGCAACTTCTGATCCCTGTAAACTTCTACATTAAATATTTCCTATTAAAAAATGTGGCACCTCGGCTATTGTAGTTGGCGTGGCAGATCGCAATAGAGAAATGTCATCAGAGGGGGACTTCCCAAGGGCTGATTTTGCTCTGGCAAAAAATCCGGATTTTTCGGTAACAGTGATCCTGCAGTTACCGGAGATCGAAAGTTCAGACGTTTTAAAAAATCGTTGATCACCGAAGTTTCCGGAAATCAAATTTTCAAAGGTGGTACTTAAAAACTCAGTTTATTTTATTTGTTTATAAGGGAGAGCCAGAAAGATACTTTATAAGCTTATATTCATGATTAATATTCATTTTTTATCCGTAAATAGTTATTATAATCATAAACTCACGAAAGATAGACATGTTTGTAAATTTTAATTACTTCTCCAGGTATGTGTAAAATTTCAAATACATTTTAAGTAAACTAAGAAATATTCAGAAAAAGAAAAAAAAAACTTGTTTTAAATTTAAACTCAAGAAATTTTCCGGAATTTCGACTTGGGCTCACAATCACCCCTGCTTCCCTGAGGTGCCTTTTAAAAAAGTAAAAATGTCCTCAATTTCTTGGAAATGTTAATAAAGCGACATTGATTTCACATAGTAACTTGATTTTTGTAAATTATATAAAATTTAAAACATTATTAAGCCAAATATTTGATATTCAATGACACATGACACGATTCTAGTTAGACAAACACATGACACGATTCTAGTTAGTTCTTTTTCCAAGAATATATTTTTTTTTTTGGTCATTCAATATTTAAATTCCCTAGAGCAAAAATGGTTGTCATAAATTTTTTGCTGAGATCTCAGCGGTCTGTTTAGAAGAAATTTGGGTCCATTAAGAAGAAATTTGAGTCCCTTAGAAATTTGAAGAAATTTGGGTCCCTTACAAAATATCTTTTCATAAAAACGAACCCTTCTCAAAATATTTTAACTTAAAAACGGACCCTTCACAAAACAATTTATCTTTTAATCGGACCCTTCACAAATTTGTTTATCTTCATTATTGTTTTGCTTGTTGTTATTGTTAAACTTTTCCCGGGTAGGGGGGAGGCAGATGTAAGTTTTGTCTTCGGCTGACACTTCTTTCTTTATTCGTCCGAAATTAATATTCTGCTTTTAGCAGTGTAGGCTAAATGCCAAATATTTGTATGTTGCATCCCTAATTTAGTAGCAGTAATTGCTGTTTATTTTTGAAAATTTAATTTTTTTAATTATAATTTTACAGTGTTGAGCATAATCTTGTATCTATTTACAATTTAAAAACTTCTTGAAAAAGGTTTTTGCAATTGCAGGACCCTATTTGCACAAATTCACAAAAGCAGGACACTAGTTGAAAGAATGTGACTTAACGTTTATATTATATTCACAAATTACAAGTCATTTTTTCACAATTTTGCAAAAACAGGACCTTTCACAAAATGTTTGGACAGACCCCTGATGACAAGGGAGAAGGTATGAGTAAAGGGAGAAGATAATGCAGGGAGGACGTCTCCCTGCACGGTTGCCACTCCACAGGGAAAATGCAGGGAATTTTGAATGTTTCATTTTAAACTGTGCAAATACAGGCATTTTNACAGGCAATTTTTTTTTTTTTTACAAAATGTTGACCTTTCAATGTGCAAATTAAGATTTAAAGATAGTTCAGCCGTAGGTACTATACTATTTCATTTTCTGTATAATTTTTTTTATTTTTTTATGTATGTTGAACTGTTCTGTATTTCTCTAAGTTTTTCCAGCAATTGAAACTAGTATTAGTTATCTTAATATAAGATCACACATTTGCACAGTTATTTTGTGTTTCCTCTTTATGTATTGTGTATGGAAATCACGGGAACTTCTTTTCCAGATTTAAGTGACAACCGTGTCCAGTGTTTATTACCTGGACATGGTTGTCACTCAAATCTGGCAATCTTATGTGTTGTTCACATTGTCACAACACATAAAATTCAATTTCACCTGAAGAAGGCGAAATTGAAATTTATGTGTTATAATAATGTCGTTTTAATACAAAACATTGGAGTTTAAAAATTACGTGAAAAATGCAATGATTTGTAGTGAATTAAACGTGTCTTGAAAAGTGAGTTCTGAAATTGATAATCATTGTATTCTAATAATTCGAAATTTAGAAAGCCACGTCACTGGAAAAAAAAAAAAAAATCTATCATCATATTGTGTGAAATTATTATGGACTCTTGTATTAATAACATGATCATTAGTTGCGCACTAATGATAAAATTTCTTTTCATAAATGTCAAAAGAATATTAACATATGCATAATTTAATTTCCAGAAAAAAAATTTTTCTCCAAAATTCAATAGGACACAATTTAATAATATTTTACAAATAAACATTTAAAGGCTATTTTCAAGATACAAATTTATTTATTTTAAAACAATAAGTACACATGTTTAGTGCTAGCAATAATTAATTAGGGTTGGGGAGGCCTGGGTTATAGGCTCAAAGGAGTAAATCTTTCATCAAAAGGGCCAACTTCGTTTCGAATGAACACTGTAGGTTATATCCTGTTTAGTCTATAGACTAATTGTATTATATTGAAGACTAATTTTATTATCTTTTATACTCTATAAACTAATTGTATTATTTTGTAGTTTGTAGATTAATTAAAAACTAGTATTAAAATTCTTTTTTTATTTCTAGTAAAGATGTCCATTACATTGGACCATATTAACCCTTTTTTTGACCTAAATGCCCATTTGGAAGATTTAAATGTGGCACCCACTGCAACAGGTGGTACAGGCATCAATAATATGCAGCAGTTTCCTCCGCCATGTCCTACCATTCCACAGTAAGTTATTTTAATAACCATTATTTGATTATTAAGGAATAGAATGTTGTGTTTTGTTAAAATTCTTTATGATAAATATATAAAAATGAAAGATTTGTTTCATTATTAAACAAACATGGCAAGGAAAAAATCCAGTGGATTTTACGAAATTCTATAAATTTCATGATAATTGCTGCATAATGTGCTAAATATTTTTCATATAGAGAATTTTACAGTCATCAAAACAGAAAAACTGCAATATTTTCCAGGTATGATTGACATTAAATGAACTTGAAATGTTATGTATTATGTTTACGCATAATTTTGAATAGTAAAAGGTATTTAATTCATTAATGTTATGTTTATGTTAAAAAGTATCTGGATAACGAAAAGAATGAACAAGTATGTTGAATTTTTGAACTTAAAGCTTTTTGAAAAATTGTGTTGGCAGAATTTTTTCAGTCTTTCTTCGACTTACCTCTCTAGTACTAACTATATCTTTCTTCAAGAAACTTTTATTAATAACAAATACAGTTAGACCTCGATATAAGGTCAACCGCATGTATAAGGTCACTTTAATAAAGTCCCGGTTGACTGAATAGGAATTATTTGTTACAGATTATCGGATATATGGTCAAGTTTCAAAAGTTGTTATCGCTTATAAGGTCATTTTTATGAGGCATAACATGGTGTCCACCACATACATAGAAAATTGTTTTCGTAATGCAGGTTTTGAGAGTTCTCTGAATATCATTAATGGCGAAACCGTGGCCATGCCATTGAAGAGGAGGCTGTATATGGTTTGACTGATGAGGAAATTGCCACCACTTATGAAGCTACAATTTCTGAAATTATTTTACAAGTTTCAGAAGTTGTGGACAGTGATCCTGAGACTGTAGCTGTAACCCAAAGGAAAAGCTTCAATGCAATAAATGTCAAACGAAATTTTGTTACAAGCCATGAGGGCGCTGAGGAACATTTTGAGAAGTTACAAAATCTAGAAAACATTGTTCGATAATAATAGATTATTTTAAATAAGGTTAGATGTATGTCTATAAACTTTGAGGAAATTTGTAAACAGCTTTATTTTAAATTAGTTTTTTGTTCAATAATCTAACTTTCTTTAATTTATTAATTCTGTTAAAATTTATTGACTTAAATATTTAATTTATGACCGATTGTTTTCGTTTGTATTACCGTTTTTAAAAATCATTATGTGTACTATTTACGTGCTTAGTTATGAACTGCTAATGAATCTGTTAAAAGGTCACCACGCTTATTAGGTCACTTTTGCAATGTCCCTTAGGGTGACCTTATATTGAGGTCTGACTGTATGCATGTCCGACGGAGAAATCACGCTAAGTGGACTGGTCAAAAAAGGATTACTAAATGCTTGTTTTCAATTCAAGATTCCGTTGTTGTAATAAATAATATTCTATTAAAATTATAGGATTTTCAAAACTACGTGGAAGTTAAAAGTATTAAAAGTAAATAAAAAATAGAGAAAAAATTTCTGCAAAGAAGAAAACCAACTGAAAAAATTATGTCACTGGGGTCATTAGTATTTTTTAGTTTTTGTAGCATGTGCATCCTTCCCACATGCTGAAGACTAAGCATTTTACAATTTGTTCTTTAGTTGTTGACTAGGAGACAGACCTTAGAATTGCCAGGTGCAACTGTCAGCCTCACTACCTTGGAGGATGTTGACGATAATAGTACTGCCATCACTGAGGGACCAGCGATCAGTGAATTGCAAAATGACGAAACCAGACAAATCTACTCTACTTACTTTAATGAAGCTGCAAACTAACAGGTAAAAAAGATTTTCCTCTTTTTTTTCTGGTTTCAAATTTCCCTAAAAATTTGAGTGCAATATGCTTTCAGGGTTGCCACTCCACAAGGAGAACAGAGAATTTTTAATATGTACAGGGAAAAGAGAGGGAATTTTTTTGCTTCTCCAGATTCGAGTGGCAACATTTCATGTTAAGAGATAATCAGCTTAAAAATTTCATATTAAACATGTAAAATACAACAATAATTGATAGTTGACTCACTGGACCAAACATGTGTTTCATGTAAATAGATATTTAACGTTATGCAGTTTCGTGTTAATGAGGTTCAACTGTATCATAAATCTATTCTAATTATATTTTTTTATCTGATCTCTTTTTAACGTATCACCAATCTTACTCACATGATAATGAAATGACATATTTGTGAGTCTTGATTTTTAGGATATTTATTTGATATTTGTATTCTCTGGGTCATATTGTTTGATTTATAATGTTTATGATATTGTATTGTGGTGCAAATTGATGTTATTTTTAGCTGATCTCTTTTTAGCATATAACTAATCTTATATACAGGACAATGAAATTACATATTTGTGATTCTTAATTTTTAGGATGTTTATTTGATATTTGTATACTCTGGGTCATATTGTTTGATTTATAATGTTTATAATATTGTATTGTGGTGCAAATTAATGTTATTTTTAGCTGATCTCTTTTTAGCATATAACTAATCTTATACACAGGATAATGAAATTATATATTTGTGATTCTTAATTTTTAGGATGTTTATTTGATATTTGTATTCTCTGGGTCAAATTGTTTGATTTATAATGTTTATGATATTATATTGTGGTGCAAATTGGTGTTATTTTTCAAATTTAACTATGCCAGGCTTTATATGATTTTTTTTAAATATTTGAACTTCTCTAGTAAGTAAATTTACTTTGTTTGATTTTGCACGAATCTCACATTAAAGAGAAGTAGTTGTTTATTCTCTCTATTGTATTTACGGAATGGTTGTTGTTTTGATAGTTATATGAATAATTTTTCAAATATTATTTTACTATTAATATATTGTAAATATTAATATATACTCTTAATATATACTATTAATTTAGTATCAATATATACTTCAACTCTTTTCTTCCTTTTTTACTCTGTTTTTTTAAGTTTAAAATCTATAAATATGAAGAAGCAGAGAATTACAGTTTTGTTTATATTTTCAATTAATGTTATTATAATGCTTTTTTAATTCTATTGTTGTGTTTTTGACTTAAGACTTATTCTATTTATTTTATCAATTTGAAAGTCCAGTTTATATTTTTATATTACTCATTTAAGAAGAAATAAAACAACTTTAAATTACTACATATATCTGACTGTATGTAAATATTTGCTTTTGTATTTTTCTTTCCAGCTAGTTTATTGCTTCCACTCTTTTCTTTCTTTTTTACTCTGTTTTTTTAAGTTCAAA